TCATTGCTGTTTTTATTTAAAAATAAATAGGCCTAATTCGTTATTCTATGTACGAATTGTTGTTTCATATTTTTTCTGAAAATTTGTTGAAAACCATTTGAGGAAATCATAAATGTATCTCTAAATGTGCGAATTTAGTTGGCATTTTTGACAGTGATTGAAATATTACTTATTCATATCGGTTAAGTACTGAGTTCTAAGTATGAATAATATTATGCTATTAAAATGTTGTACTTGTAGAAAATGTTACTCCACAGAGATTAGGTGCCATTTGTAAATCCATAAGCTTACAAATCTCTAACAAGTCCCAAAGCTGATAAAATACCAATTCATGCTCGCTTCGCTGACAATGTGTCTGCAGTTTGAAGAGACTGTCAAATGTCCCATCTCATTACTAGTAGGACAGTCATACTTAGTGCTAAGGGTGCTACCGGTCCATCACAAACGTGTCACTTGTCACAGGTGTGCAAGGACTGGCTTTGAACGCCGTCGCCATTGAATGACAACCATTCCCCGACTCCCCGCACCCATTTTCCCCTCAACCATCCCGTCATCATGCTATCATGAAGCACCTCATATCAACTGACGTATGTATCATGTACACGATCAATCTCATGCTACATCAAGTGACATAATTATAACAGGAATTTTAGAAAGTTGAGTCATGTGTTTTTGTTTTTCCCCAAGCGAGTTGCTTAAAATTAACAGTTGGATATTTACGTGAAAAGGAAACATAGCACAACCTGAACACGACTGTGGGCATAATGTAGCCTATTACATTCGACACTTTAATAGATATCTGTTGGGAGATTTTCACCTCGTGATTGCCGAGTCGTTTATACAAGTTTTGTGTGATGTACCAGATAGAGAGAAGGTGGGGATAGAGAGAGACAAGAAAGTATGGGTTTGCAATTGAACAACAAAAATAAATTTGATACCTAGTTTGACACAATGGTGTTATAATGTATGCAATATGGATTGATTTATTTGTTTTTAATCAGTAAATATTTTACACTGACCACTGTAATAATATATCGCACACGTGTTATACTGTAAACGGTTTCTGCTGCATGTATGCAAATGTCAGTTGTAGAAAACCAAATCTTGAAATGTGTTGGATATGTCTGTATGTTGGTTTAGAAGATTCTGATTAATGCGAGGAAAGTTTCCGATTGTGAGTAGGCGTCGTTTCCTCAATAATTCCTGATCAAACTGATGATGTTCAGGATACAAGTCAATTGCTCTTTCATGTTCGCAAATATTAAAGGTAATGAGCTGCTTGAGAGTTCAAAAGGGTGAAATTGCCCCAAGATATAAATCAAGAAGTTGGGAAGTTCATATACTTGATGTGAGATTACTAAATTTGGTAAGAATGTCAGAGAAGATTAAATACTAAGACTACATCTCATGAAAGAAAACGTTTACTTGATTTCTGAGGCAAAAACAAAATGAGTCGCATAAAATTTCCGAAAAATTGGGTGACGCATACGCACACAGATAGTATAGGGCCAGAAATCTGTATGAATGAATATACCATCGTAATTGGGGGAATGGAATATAGGTAGCAACTTAGCTTTTTTGGAGCTCTGTATTGTTGCAAACATTTTCCGTGTGTTAAGAATGGATATGGCGATCGGAAAACTGAATTAAAGATAATATAAGTATCACCTTTGAGAACCAGGTAGTGTGAGGTTGGTCTCTTCCTGGTTTTACGCCCACCACAGACCAATAACTTAATCAGCGGAAAGTATCATGTTCATTCAAATATTAGGTAGAATGCATAATTAACGTTAATGAGCATTCCTTCGTTGACTCACCTTTGTGATTCACTTTGATTCAAATGTGTTTGATGACAAATATTAGGTCGTCCTCTTCAAAAGATGCAACGTAACTTCGTTCTATATGTTAATTAATTTTATTTACAAAAATATATGCAGTGTATTATTGTCAAATGATTTGCCTTTAAAAATAGCGATTATCGGTGAGATCTTAGGCACATAAAAAGTTGTTTAGCGTTGTTGCATTCAACGAAATATTATTTTACTTTGGAGGGCATTTTCGATAGAGACAGTAGTCTCCTAGCTGGGTACAACTTTGAGGAAAAAAATGTTATTTCTCCAACCACTCTCGTCTCAGAGTTAAATGCACTACTACATGACTACGTTATGATATGATTACTCCAAAAATGACTGATGATAAATTTCTTTATTGTAATAGTTTAATATGCGACATAATTGCAAATGCATGATATAAGGCAAACCAGAATTGGCTTGCTTTGAAACTAATCGAAATATTGAACCATTATTGGATGCCGCTTGATGAGCTGAGCTCCCATTTAATCTTTGTACAGATCTCCTTCATTCTTCAATAAATGATATACAATTCATAATTTGTATGATGAGACTGCACCTGCAATAGGTAGACAGGGAGACAATTCTATATCACATTAACCTATTACCCAAATTTGATTTGTCTGAGCCGGACATAGGTCCATTACCCGCAGTAAACGCGTGCTGTTCGTACCGGACCTGGACCTAATTAATAGGCCTGGGGTAGCCTAAATGAGACTCGACACTGAGAAGAAAGAGGTGTTTAACATTGGCACTCTGAACTTCTAAATATGACACCCCTTAAAGATTTATGGCAGGACCATGTCATTCATTTGTAAAAACAACCGATGGATCAAAACAAGATGGCTTAAATAACGTAGACACTCTAATGCCTTTCGGTAATTGGAGAGAAGTGCATGGAGTTTATGATTACATTCGTACCTAGTTTTTCCTCCGAATTGTTTTTCAGATGGCCTAATTATCATGGTATCTATTCTGTATTCGGAAAGACGATATTTGTTGAGAAAAAGATCTGATGAGTAGACTTAGGAGCGGCGCTAGAGGGAGAGGGATGTGGGGCCGTGAAACCCCTACCTAAAATATAAGTGATGAAAACTGGGATTTTACCCCTGATTTTTTAACTCGATCGAATTATCGAAGCATGTTGATTATTGTTTAACACCTCAAGCTCTTAGCTGATATGGGATAGACAAAAATGATGCCTAATTTAGTGTCACGGTTCTCGGCATTCCTTGCATGTTCTCCAGGGCAAGAGTGCCAAATGTATAATCTTGTTCCGGCTTGGACCCAAGAAGGGATATAGTACTGAACCTCAGAAGAGAACACCAAAACTTGTCATTTGAAAGATACGTGGAGCGAAGAGAGAATGGGGATACCAAAGAACGCAATTATTATGCGCTTCTGACAGGAAAAATTAAATGTTTTTATATTCTTAATGATGTTTTTGATGTACACGATTATGTCACGATGTTCTAGTTTATTAAAGGAATGTTGCTTAACGAAAGTTAACTTGAGTCATTCATTGCATGTCTCCTTATTGTCTAGTGTCACCGGACTGTGGATCACAAGGTCCGCGGTTCAAGTCCCGCCGCGCCGCACTAATGTCCTTAGTCTACATTAAGACAAGACATTAATCTAAATTTGTCACACTCGACCCAGGTGAGGTAAATGGGTACCTGGTAGGATTATTTCTTGAAATGCACTGTGCTCTGATAATGGCTGCTAGAGCTCAAGCTAGGGTAATAATTTCCAAAGCTCTTTGGAAGCGCATAGAGATGTTACAATGTGATATGCGCTATACAGGAACCGAATATTATTATTATTATTAGTGTTTGTCGACCTCTCTGTTGCTCTTTACTTGAATTTTGTTAATTGTCCTAAATGTCCCTTTCTCACCGAAAGTTCAACATTCACTTTGGAGGAGTTGATACAAGTAGGTCCTACTGCGTCGAAAAATCAAGGTCCTAGAGTTCATCTACACAAATATTGAAAGTTCCATTTTTCTTCGTTAAAATAGCCAAGAAGGATATCAAATTAGGTCTAGACTTTTAGATGCTATATGAAATATGTAGTCTGCAAACAACCCCAGGGTCTTTTAACTAGAGAAACAAAAGGAAAGTCACACATTGACTATATTTAACTTTGTTTTGGCCTACGGTTTACGACGCGGTTGTCTGACTTTGTGTTTCTTGGTTAATTTCAGAGCTACT